AATTTATATACCTTAAATTTTAAAAAAGAAAAAAAGTTCATGAAGTTAGTTTTTGAAGTAAGAATATGAGTTTGGGGGTCCATTGTGGCACAGCAAGTTAAGACACCGTCTGTGATGCCAGCTTCATGAGTGCCAGTTCAAGTTCTGGTTACTCCACTTCTGATCCAGCTCCCTGTTAAGGTGCCTGGGAAAACAGTGGGAAATGGCCCAAGTACTCAGGCCCTGACCACCCATGTGGGAGACCCAGATGGGGTTCTGGGCTCCTGGCTTCAGCCTGGCCCAGTACTGGCCATTGCAGCCATTTGACCAGTGAACAAACAGATGGAAGGACTCTCTCTCTCTCTCTCTCTCTCATCCTGCTTTTCAAATAAAAATAAAAGTAAAAGTAAAAAAACATGATTTTGACTTTCCATCATAATGATTTAGTCTCAGTTATTGTTTTTGGACTTCAATGGAGCTGCACATAGCAAATTATGGACAGATATACACATATGCTGCAAATTGTTCTCAATAGGGAGTGTGTGGTTTGTCTTTCTGTGCAGACTTTTATATTCAATGTACTAAAATCTTTTTTCCACTATGTACTGTTTTCTCTGGTGTCTTATTTTTTTTATTTTTATTTTAGAAAAATTAGGCTTCCTATTTACCATGGCTTTATTCCTGGGTGCATCCTTCCTTTTCCCTTTTCCCTTTTCTCTCTCTTTCTTTCTTTCTTTCTTTCTTTCTTTCTTTCTTTCTTTCTTTCTTTCTTTCTTTCTTTCTTTCTTTTCCTTCCTTCCTTCCTTCCTTCCTTCCTTCCTTCCTTCCTTCCTTCCTTCCTTCCAAGGTTTATTTATTTATTTGAAAGGCAGGGTTAGATAAAGACAGGAAGAGACAGAAAAAGAGATCTTCCATCTGCTGGTCCACTCCCCAAATGGCCACAACGCCGGGGCTGGTCAGGGCCACAGCCAGAAACCTGGGACTCCATCCGGGTCTCCCACATGGGTGGACCATCCTCTGCTGCTTCCCCAGGAGCATTATCAGGGAGCTGGATCAGAGGTAGAGCATCCATGGCTTTACCCAGAGCCCACAGGGCATGTTGGGCAGCTTAAGTGGCTATGCCACAATGCCAGCCCAAATCTTAGATGATGTTAAGCAGATATATTTTTATGTACTTCCATTTGTCTCCATAAAGAGCAAATAAAAGAGCAGAAAGTAGAGATATAAATTAACCAAGGCAAAATATGCCTACATCTAGGAGAAAGAAAGACGCTAAGTCAAAGCAGAAAGGCTAAGAAACCAGGCACATCTGATGCAAATCTCTACATTTCAATGACCCAATTTTTCTTAGCTTTTAATAAGAAAAACAGTTTGGGGGAATTTATTCTTTTTATTTATTAATTTTAAATTAATATAAACAGTGGGGCTGGCGCCGTGGCTCACTTGGTTAATCCTCTGCCTGCAGCGCTGGCATCCCATATGGGCACCCGTTCTAGTCCCGGCTGCTCTTCTTCCAGGCCAGCTCTCTGCTGTGGTCCGGGAGTGCAGTGGAGGATGGCCCAAGTGTTTGGGCCCTGCATCCACATGGGAGACCAGGAGGAAGCACTTGGCTCCTGGCTTCGGATCGGCGCAGCGCGCTGGCCGTAGCAGCCATTTGGGGGGTGAACCAATGGAAGGAAGACTTTTCTCTCTGTCTCTCTCTGTCTATAACTCTGCCTGTCAATTAAGAAAATTAATATAAACAGTAAACAGCAGGTTTCAAGTAGTTCATAGATACAATTATAATATGATGATACTTCCCCTTCCACCTCCTTCATTTCTCTTCTAATTTTTGTAATAATATATTTATACTCACAGGCTGAATGTTCCATTAAATGAAGAGTTCAATGAGTAAAAAGTAGAAAGACCACTATTCAGCAGAAATATATACAAAGACTATAAGCAATAATCAAATCCCAGGATGTCACTTTCACTCATACATATTAAGGATTTGAAAAATGTATATTAGCTTCTACAAATCAGAGAAAATGTGATATTTCTCTTTGTGAATCTGGCTTATTTCACTAAGCTAAGATTCCTTGATATATACAAAGACAGCCTGAGAATTTAATGGTAAGCACTTACATAAGTACTTTTTAAAGAATTATTTTACTTGAAAGTCAGAGTTAACAGAGAAAGAGAGAGAAAGAGAGATCTTCCATCTCATGGTTCACTCTCTTGATGGCTGCAGTGGCTGGGCTGGGTCAGACCAAAGCCAGGAGCCAGGAGCTTCTTCCAGGTTCTCCTGTGGGCAGCAGGGTCCACACACTTGGACCATCTTCTGCTACTTATCCCAAGACATTATCAGAAAGCTAGATCAGAAGTGGATCAGCTGGGCCTTGAACCGGTGCTCATATGGGATATGGACGTCATAGAGGCAACTTTACTCACTACACCACAATGCCAGCCTCTATTTAAAATAGTTTTTTGGATTCTATCATAGATGCTATTTAATTCTCCAAGTTTTTTTTTTTTTAAAGTAAACATTGTGAAAGGAAACAACCACTAAGCAGCAAAGAAGTTAGGTATTTGGGCAAGGGCATGTATAATTATTTTTAAATACCAAGTATTTCAATAAAAGGAGTTGATTGCTTTAAGTGCTTGAAAAACAAGTCAAAGAGAAAAAGAGTTTTGACAATTTTTAATTATGTATTAATTAGAAAATATACATAATTTAGAAGTCTTGTTGGCAGCTATTTTTTTAAATTCAGTATCTGGACCACAAAAATATGAAAGCAAACATATGAGAAGATTCTGATTAATTAATGTATTAGAACCTCTAAATTTTCCCCTGCTCATAAACTAATTGACCACCATACCAATTAATACTAGGAGAGATAATTAAATGTGAAATTATCTTAAGGGTGTATATTTTATCACCTAGAAGAGAAAAATTAAATGCTGTCCCTTCTGCTATCAGAATACAATGTAAGCCTTTCCAATACTTTTATATAAGTAAATTTTAGTTACATGTCATATAACCAAAGTTTAATTTTAAGGGATATCCTCCAAGAGAAATAGTGGAAGATATTGTTGTGGGTATGGGCATTTTTTAATTTCTAGTCCAGGCTCTTGTCTCACACAAAGATAATTTACAAAGGTGCAGTAATAGGAACAGGATGTACTTAAGAGTCAGAGAGAAAACATACATTCACATTTGAGTGTGGGCTGCCGCACATAGAAATGCCTATCATGAACGGACCAGAAGACTTCCCCATGGGAGAAGGGGGTGGGAGAGCCAGAGAGCACCTGAATAGTACCTCCAGCCATGGTCCTCAGCAAAAGAGAAGGCACTGGTTGGTGGCCTCTTTTATGAAGTAGGGAGTGGCGCCTCCACATGCATGAAGCCACCTGGGAATTTCATACCTCCATAAATTCCACGTGGAACTTACTGTCCGTGTTTTTGTGGCATCCACCTCTTCTGGATGAAACAGGTACATTCTGGGAAAGGGAGCATCTTGATCGACAGGTGGAGGGATAGCATGGGGCTATCAGGGACTTCTAGCCAACTCAGACCTCAACCAGCTACCTAGTTACAGCACATCAATACCACAAGGAAGGTTAGCTGTATGCCAAAGATCAGAGAATGGTATAGCAGAACTAGGTGTCAGCAAAGTGTGCTTGACGGGAGGGGTTAGTTTAAGCCAGGGCTGGGAGATGATCCTTCAGGTTAACCCCACTTGACCCCTAGGTCTCCAGGGCTGCCTCCTTGACTCATTCCATTTCTGTCCAATTCCTGTCATTCACTTCCTGAAAGTCAGTTTTGTGCCACAATCACAGTTTCCTTTCACCAGGAGCTACCAAGCTCCTTAACTATATTTGGCTATCTGCTCTTTGATGGATAATTGTCATTATTTCTATCTTTGAGATCACCAGTTCTCCTGCCCAATCAGCAAATTTAAGTGCTCATACCAAATTAAATTTAATCTATCAGAATACAGAGTAAGACTAACTCAAATAGCCTCATTTTTTTCAATTTTGTTTTATTAATATGATCCAAAATGAAAACCAGCGTCAAATATAAACTTAAAAGAGATGCTCATGTTATTGGAGTTTTGAATATTTTTATTTTCTAAATGACTTCTATTACTGTGATTTAAATGAATCTTTAGCAAATAATTTGGACTCTTCATTTGAAACCAGGATGTTCTGTATATCATATTGCTTAGAATATCTCTTATTTGAAATAACTCCTAAATTAAGGAATATAATAAAATAATGTGCCACTCATTAAAATGCTTTAATTTTTATTTTTATTGTTTGTGAGTTTATAAAACAATTAAATAGCAAAAACTAGAAAAAGTATCATATACTTAAATTTATTTTTTATAATCATGAAAAAAAAAGTTTATGTATTAATGGATAACTGTAGTCTCTTCATACCAGAAATAGGAATTTTAACAACATAGTATACGTATAGTACTCATACATATATGTGCTTGTCTGTCAATATCATGACGATGATCTTTGATGTTTAGTAGTTAAAAGCAACATTCACATGCAAAATGATTTGCTGGTTTCAAATATGTTAACCTGTGACTACAATTAGCAACCTAATTTGAAGAAGGGAAATATGGGCTAAAAAAATATAGCTCAAGTCATGAATTCCCGTGCTTGCTTATTCCTCCTGTTTATGGTTTTGTGTTCCTACCAATCAGGAGCATTTTAATAGTTCTGTGAATAAAAGTTTCTTATCTAATCACTAAGTAAAAAATTAGCAGTGCAGTAGGATTTCTAAGAAGTAGTTGTTGATAGTTTCCTATAATTAAAAGTTGTAGAAGCAGGAAAAGGATCAGTTAGATCCATGCACATCTGAGATTTTCCCAGACTCTATTTAAGTCACCAGTACTCAATTCCGGGTTCCTCAAGGGCAAATTCATTTATTTCTAAAATTGTGTTTTGGAATTCATTTGTTTTAAAAGCCTGGTTATATGCTCCAAAGACTGTTTCTTAAACTCAGCCGAATCACTTCATTTGCCCAGTGCTGCTGCTGAAGCTGATGGCATCGATTCATTAATAAACATCCTGTCCAGTAAACGAGATGGAGCCATTGCCAATGCTGCCACAGTGTTAACGAACATGGCCCTGCAGGAGCCCCTGCGCGGGGCCGTGCAGAGCCGAGGCGTCATGCAGGCCATCGTCAACCCTCTTCGCTCCGCCAACACCGTGGTGCAGAGCAGAGCGGCTCTCACTGTGGCTGCGACTGCCTGTGACGTCGAGGCCCGGACAGAGGTGAGAGTGACAGTAACATTTGTTCTTCATTTTTCTGTTCAGTACCAGTACATACCAGTGGGTTAATTATTTAAAACATTGTCAAGTATTTGAACTTACTTATCATTGAAACCTTTCAAAATTATTCCAACACTGGAAAACTGACTTTTTCTAGCAAAGATATGAGGATACCCTATAATCCAGCAATTTTTTTTCTGTCTATACCTAAAAAAAAAAAAAAAAAAAAAAAAAAAAAAAAAAAAAAAAAACTCTTGCTTCTGTGTATGAGAAGGCATTGTTTATAATCTCTAAACAAGCATAAATAAATCAATTGTCCGACTATTAAGTGATTAGATAAATTAATTGAAACATATGAGTATTCATAAAGTGGGATCCTAAGTCAATAAAAACAAATGAACTATAACTATAAGAATCCAAAGAATCACTTTTATGACATCCAAGATTATGCAATGCCAGGGGCCAGATGCTCCAACAGTTAGGAAAGCACCCCATATCAGAGTGCCTGAGTTGGAGTCCCAGCTCAAGTACTTGGGTCCTGCCATCTACCCAGGAGACCTGAATGCAGGTCTGGCTCCCAGGCATTTGGGAAGAGAACTAGCAAATGGCAGATCACTGTCTCTCTCTGTCTCTAGAATTAAAAAAAAAAAATCCATGTAATGTGTTTGTTTGTGTTAAGCAATATGCAAAGCTAAACTCTGCATTGTTTAGACATGCAGAGTACACGTAAACCAGGTGAGGAAAGCAAAATTCAAAAGGGTGGTTAGTTTTCAGGAAAGTAAAGGAGTAGATGTGGGGGGGGGGAGTAGACAGTTCAAGGTCATTGAAATGTGCCATTTAAGCTGGCACAGCCATATTCAGGAGCAAAGTGAAGAAATAGAGCATCCCGCAGGCAGGCAGGGAGAAGACAAGCTCCTTCCCCAGTCTCTGTAAAACCATGTGCCCTTCTTCTATTACTGTGCTGCTTTCTCTCCGTCTCTCTCCTTCCCTTCTTCCTTCCCTTCTACTTAAATTACTATTCCAAATTACTACTGGAGTAGTAAACTTTACGGAGGTCCCCCAGGGCCATGGGGCAGGGCAGGAGGCCACCCTTGGGGTTGGGAAGGTGAAGGGTGGCTGTTCTTCTTGGGACAGAGTTTGTTAGTATGGCCGCCCTATTGTTGGCTTCCGTGGCTCAGGGATGTGGTGATGAGAGCACCTGCAGCAGGTGGTCTTATCAGGTTCTGTCCTGGGAGCTGGGGAGGTAAGGCACATTGCCCACCTTGTCTTGGATTTTGGCTTTTTTTTTTTCTATGTACTTATTTATTTGAAAAGTCAATTACAGGGGCTGGCGCTTGGGTAAAGCCGCCACCTGCAGTGCTGGCATCCCATATGGACGCCGGTTCAAGACCCGGCTGCTCCACTTCCCATGCAGCTCTCTGCTATGGCCTGGGAAAGCAGCAGAAGATGGCCCAAGGCCTTGGGCCCCTGCACCCGAGTGGGAGACCCAGAAGAAGCTGCTGGCTCCTGGTTTCAAGGAGTGAGCCAGTGGATAGAAGACCTCTCTCTCTCTCTCTCTCTCTCTGCCTCTCCTTCTCTCTGTGTTTGTCTTTCATGTAAAATAAATAACTCTTTAAAAAAAATTCTCTGTTTGAAAGTCAATTACAGAGAGAGGGAGAGACAGCAAGAGCTTCCATCTACTACTTCATTCCACAAATGGCGCCAGCAGCAAGGCCTGGACCTAGCCAGAGAGGGAGCCAGGAGCTTTATCTGGGTCTCCCATGTGGGTAGCAGAGGCCTCGGCTGCTTTCCCAGGCACATTAGCAGGGAGCTGGGTTGAAAGTGGAGCATCTGGGACTGGAGCCAGCACTCATACAGGATGCTAGGGTCCCAGGTGGCAGCTTGACCCACTGCATAAGATCAGCCCTGCATTTTGGCGTCTAACATCCTTTATGGTGTCCCTGAGCTCGCCTGGAGGGTGACAGTTTTGCAGGTCTTTATCTCCCAGGAGATCTGCAGCTTGCAGCTGGGCCCCTCCATAAAGACAAAGTGAGCTCCTATTCATTGGGGTTTGGAAAAATTTCTCCCTAATCCCTGCCGAATTTAATAATTGTAACTAAAGACAGAGACTAAAACAATTTTACACAGCTAAAACCTTTCATCCATCCAATAATGAGCTGGTTAAAAGCTGAAGCGTTTAATGCATCAAATTTTGGTTTCTGCTTTACAGTTAAGAAATGCTGGTGGGTTGGAGCCCGTGGTAGAGCTCCTGCGCTCGGACAACGCAGAAGTCAGAAGGCATGCCAGCTGGGCGGTGGCGGTGTGCGCCAACGATGAACTCACAGCCACCGAGTTGTGCAGGCTCGGGTGAGTGGATGCCCACCACAGCGCTTGGTTCCGGGAAAGCAGAACGTGGAGGAGCGTCCTCTTCGGGTGCAGAGCCTGCACTACCGCTCGCGGACGGCTCAGTCCTGTGCTCTGAGGATGGCCTGCAGGCCAGGATATGCCTGCTCTTCCCAGCCCTGGCCCGAGCTCACTGAATGCCCTGTATGAAATCATCTCCTTGATAAATGCTTCGCTCTTACTTTTCTCTGCTCCCGGCACACACAGTCCTGCTTGTCTCTCAACTTCAAGGTTGAACTGGGTTGGCCAGGACTTACCCTATTTTTCTCTCCTCCCATTCGCTCACATCTGTTCACCAGAACGGCAAATGTGCGCAAGTTCATTGCCATCTGATGTCCTTAGAAACAGCAAGGGACTTAGTGGCCTTTAGAGTGTCAGCAAATAGGGTTTTAATGTTCCATAAGCAGGTTTACTGTACTGATTTACATACATCTTAGTGTATTTTGCCTGGTTAGCTGAAAAATTGGGGTCCAATATTAATTTTGCTTCAAGTGAAAAAAAATGATTTTTTTTTCTGAAAGCATTCAGCTGTGAGACAGTACACAGGGTCTCAAAAAGAGCTGATTCATTTTCCTCTCCGTGTTGCTCACGCTAAAAGGATAGGGGAAATATGCACATCAGTTCTTCATTCAGGATTAATAAGTACTGGGGAGAAACGTGAACTCTGGCTGTGGGGTGGAAGGCTCTGAAGATATCTACGAGGTCTGTTTGGTCTACAGCGTCAATTAACTCTGTTGTTTCCTTGTTGATTTTCTGTCTGGTCGATCTGTCCATTGGTGAGAGTGGGGTGTTGAAGTCCCCTGTTACTATTGTATTTGAGTCTATATCTCCCTTTTAAGTCCTTTAGTAATTCTTCCAAGTAGCCAGGTGCCCTGTAATTAGGTGCATATACATTCATAATAGTAACGCCTTCATGTTGGATTGATACTCTGTATCTTGTGTGGTTGTGTGGGTGCAGTCTGTTGAAATCTTTGCTTAGTATATACTAAGTTGATCTTCTGTATATAAAGATAATCGAAAATGAATCTTATTAAATAAAACAAAAAAGGATTAAGAAGTATACAGTTGAGAACTCAACGGGGAGTGCTTGTGTAAACTAAATAAGATTTTTTACTTTTATTGACAGAGCTTTAGATATCCTTGAAGAAATTAATCTATCAGTAAGTCGAAAAAATAAATTCAGTGAGGTAGCTTACAACAAGCTGCTCAACAATAACCTCTCGCTGAAATACAGCCAGACTGGCTATTTGTCATCCAGTGACATAATTTGTGATGGCTTCTATGACTACGGCCGGGTAGGTGACAGCACTTACTTGTATTTTAGTACTTTTGATGGCAATATTTTCTTTAATCATGGTGCCATTATGTGGCACTATTATAACCACTTAATTTGTGTTTTTACAGACGTAACTTTTAAAATCACCCTTCATCCTTTGTATGGCTATAACATTTTGCAATTTTATACAGCTTTAACTACAGCCTGATTATTTGAACTTATGTCAGTTTATTAATATCAGTCACAGCTTCATGTACTACAAGAAACATTTTTAATTTGGTGGTTTTATTACTTCTAAAGTTTAATGTTTATTATGTAAATATAAGTGTCCATTTTTCATTTTAATAATAATAGCTTAATTGAAATGAAATTTTAATATTAAATTTGAAAATGGAGTATAGAAAAATGTTGTTTTACTTAACTGAATTTAGAATTATTTAGAATTATTTTTAATTTCTAGGGAAATTCCATACTGTCTTCCATAATGACTGTTATAATTGGCATTACTACCAACAGTGTAATAGGGTACTGTTTTCTCCACTACCTATCCAACATTTGCTTTGAATCTTGGATTTTAACCATTGTAATTGGAGTGAGAGGATACCTCATTGTGGTTTTTAAATTTTTTAAAAATTTTAGTTAAGTTATACAAGTTTCGTTTATTTCATATATACAGATTTAGGAACATAGTGACACTGCCCCCCACCCTCCCTCCCACCCAAGCTCCAACCCTTCTTCCTCCTCTCTCTCCCATTCCCACTCTTAATTTTTACAAAGATCTATTTCCAGCTTACTTACTGATCATATGCTTAACCCTACACTAAGTAAAAGAGTTCAACAAATAGTATTAAGAAAAGGAAAAACAACAGAAGAGACAAGGGCTATAAACAAACATAGAATCGCAAAATGTCTATTCCACTCCAACACATTACATTTCAGGTACTCTATTAGTTACTTTGAATCAGGGAAAACACATGGTGTCTGTCTGTTGGGCACTGGCTTATTTCACTAGTATAGCAGTTTCAGGTTGCATTCATCTTGTTGCAAAAAACAGGATTTCATTTATTTTTACAGCTGACTGATATTCTGTAGTGTATGTTTACCATAATTTCTTTATCCAGTCAACAATTGATGGACATCTGGGTTGATTCCATACCTTAGCTATTGTGTGTGTGGACTGGAGGAGGAGCAACCGGGACAGAACCAGCGCCCCAACTGGGACTAGAACCCGGGGTGCTGGAGCCACAGGTGGAGGATTAGCCTAGTGAGCCACGGCGCTGGCCAATTTTGTGTATTTTTTTTTTTTTCAAAAAACCAGCACTTCATTTTACTGATCTCTTGTACATTTTGTTTCAATTTTGTTTATTTCTTCTCTAATTATTTCTTTCCTCCTACTAATTTTGGGTTTGGCTTGTTGTTTCTCTAGGTCCTTGAGATGCATTCATTTATTTGATACCTTTCCAATTTCTTCATATATACACAATTGCCATAACTTTCCCTCTTACTGCCGCTTCTGCTGTATCCCATAAGTTTTGATGTTGTGTTGTCATCTTCATTAGTTTGCAGAAATTTTTGATGTCTCTTTTGATTTCTTCTATGACCCACTGTTCATTCAGGAGCATGATGTTCAGTCTCCATGTGTTTGCATATGATCTAGAGATTCTTAAATTGTTGATTTCCAACTTCATTGCATTATGGTCAGAGAAGATACGTGATAAGATTTCTATTTTTTGAATTTGCTGAGATCTGCTTTATGGCATAGCATGTGATCAATCCTAGAGAAAATTCCATGCACTGATGAGAAAAATATGTATTCTGCAGCTGTGGGGTGAAAAGTTCTAAAGATATCAGTTGTTAGGTTCATTTAGTCATTTATTTCAACCTTAGTATATTAGAAGCAAATCAAGTGTACACACATCTTTATAAATTAACAAAATATTTCAATTAATACTAGGAATTTAACGTAGTCTGCTTATAAGTTAAGACTTCTACATTGGATTATACAGGCAGCATAGTAACATCCATTTAGTGCTCCCAATACACTGGGAGCCACAAATGAGCAAATGTCTGCCACACTGGGCCCAGAGCCCACCTACCACTCAGGTGAACATTTCAAGTCAGTGTCGATTAGCTGTTTCTTTGTTGATTTTCTGTCTGGTTGTTCTGTCCATTGATGAAAGGAGGGTGTTGCAGTCTCCCTTTACTATTGTTTTGGAGTCTGTATCTCTCTTTAGATCCCTTAACATTGCTTTTAAATAGCATATATTCTCTCTTTCCACACCTTTAGAAACTCCTACGACCCATATCAGGTCATTTGATAGTATCCCCTAAATCTCCAACACAGTTTTTCATTTCCTAATTTTTTTGGTCTGACTGTAAGATTTCCAAAGATTTGTCTTCTAGTTCAGATATTCTTTCTTCTGCCTTGCCAAGCCTGCTCTTAAGTCTTGTATGCAGGGATGGTTCAATGTTTGCAAATCAATCAATGTGATACACCACATTAACAAACTGCAGAAGAAAAACCATATGATTATTTCAATGCAGAGAAAGCATTCGATAAAATTCAACACCCTTTCATGATGAAAACTCTAAGCAAATTGGGTATAGAAGGAACATTCCTCAACACAATCAAAGCAATTTATGAAAAATCCACGGCCAACATCATATTGAATGGGGAGAAGTCGGAAGATTTCCATTGAGATCTGGTACCAGACAGGGATGCCCACTCTCACCACTGCTATTCAATATAGTTCTGGAAGTTTTAGCCAGAGCCATCAGGCAAGAAAAAGAAATTAAAGGAATACAAATTGGGAAGGGAGAAGTCAAATTATCCCTCTTTGCAGCAGATATGATTCTTTATTTAGGGGATCCAAAGAACTCTACTAAGAGACTATTGGAACTCATAGAAGAGTTTGGAAAAGTAGCAGGATATAAAATTAATGCACAAAAATCAACAGCCTTTGTATACATAGGCAATGCCACAGCTGAGAAAGAACTGCTAAGATTGATGCCATTCACAATAGGTCTTAGCTTGATAGAATCTCATTTGTCTGTTTCTGCTTTTATTGCCTGTGTTTCTGGGGTCCAAGAGGCATGTGGAGCTGTATTTGCAGGGAGCATTCAATCATGGCAGCAGAGAAGTTGAGGAATTTTGAATAATGGAAAGCCACAGGCCAAAGCTTTACCCTGCCTCTTCCTTCTGCAGCCAACCTCTGCCTCTGCCACCACTATACCATATATCACCCTAGGACACACACAAACCCACGAGAAACAGCACTGAAGATGCTCATGTAATCCAGTTATTAATAATTTTAAAAGAAGTATCACACAGTCAATACAAAGATACTTTAAGAAAACTTAGGGAAAGAGTAGAAAACACCTGCAGAATACTGACCAAGAAAATGTCACCACAGATATGATCCTGACAGAATGCCTAACTCACTTGTTCAATAAACATTAAGTTTCTGATATTGTCAGATTTGTGTCATAGTATCCCATGTGACCAAAAGAGACAGCGTGAGCTCTGCTCCCCTGGTCCCAGTGGGAGGAGGCAGAAAACAAAACACAAATGTTATAAATCAGTAACTTGAGCCCCATACTAGAAAAGATGAAAGCTGTAGGGGAGAAAAGAGAGCAGAGGTAGATGAGGAGCTTCTAGTGCCTGGAGCACTGGGGTTGGTGGTTGCCTTTTAAAAAAAAATGTCATCGGGTAGGCCTAACTCAGAGGGTAATTTCTGAGCAAAAAATTGCAGGAAGTGAGGGACTCAACCACCAGAATATCTGAGGGGAAAGCTTTACTAGGCAGAAGAATGAACCAGTTCAAAAGCCATGAGGGGTAAGCCTGCTCGACACGCTTAGGGAGCAGGGAGAAGGACAGTGTCACCAGAGCTGAATGGACCTGGTGGGAGAATAGTAGAGATGCAATTGTGTAGGCAAAGGGAGGCCAGATCATGGGAATGTCGTAGATCATTGGAAGGCTTGGCCTTTGCTCTGAATGAAGTGGGAATCCACAGTGGTGTCCTGGGCAGAAAAATGACAGGATTTGTCTTATTTTCAGAGGATCACTTTTGCATTTCTTTAAAAAGATCATGAAAAGTGTTTTGAATGAAGAAGTGATCTAACAGCCTGATTGAGAAGAGCTCTCAGAAGGGAATCTAGTGTGCCTTTCTTCCCGGTTAGTATAGAGCTTTGTCTAGCCTGGTTCTAGACATCCTCGTAACACTTTCAGTGATGTTTCAGTACTGTATTGCTTCTATATACACAGAACATTCGGACCAAGATAGTGGCCGTATATAAAACAACCATGTGTAAAGATCCTAGGAAACTGAAGGGATATGTCCTGTCCAAGGCCAGAATGTTCACAGCTTTCAGTTCCTGTTTCTCATTCTAGATGTATATATCATGTGTGTGAGTGTGTGAAATTAGATGTATAAAACAGCCAAGCGCTCATTTTTTAAATTATGATCCACACAGATTTTACTTTTTGGTCCTGAAATTTCTTATAGATAAATTCTGGCACAAAACTTTTGCCTCTGAAGGAGCTCTGCTTACAAGAACTAAATCATCGGCGTGCTGTTCTCTTAATTAACAGTAAATCTTCCGATATGTGAGTCTTTGGGAGAAGGGAGGATGTGGAAGAGAATTGTTTTGGTTTATCCGTCAGCATGTGAATATGTAAATATTCCCAGCATGTTATCTTTCATGTCTTCTGTATCAAGTGCCACCAAAAATAAGCATTGGTCCATAAACTCAGAGCCTGACATGGAACAGCCACAACCACAAATCTCCTCCTTGGACTCCATGTTGTCAGGCAATTTCCAATGGATTTCTGAGGTTAGGGCCTCTTACCCTTGTAGTACTTGAAGAAAGTATAGATAGAAGCAAAACTAAATGAATTATGTTTCCAAGTTGACAGAGCTGTGTGCTGGAGTATACTGCCCAATATTTTTCTTTGAAGTAAGAAGTAAATGGTCAAGCTAAAAATGAAAACTTCAACATTCCTCTTTAAGATGGTCGTGTATATCAATTTATGAGGGGGCCTTAAAAAGTTCATGGAAAATGGGAATTATGGTTTTTGATGATTTATTGATTTGTTTGAAAGGCAGGATGACAGAGAGAGAGAGAGAGAGAGAGAGAGAGATCCACTGTTCACTCCCCAGATGCCTGTAACAGCTGAATCTGGGCCAGGCCAAAGCAAGGAGCCAAGAACTCCAATTGGATCTCCCATATGGATAGCAGGGACCCAAATACTTGGGCCATCAACTCCTGCCTCCCAGGCACATTAGCAGGAGACTGGGTGGAAAGTAGAGGTGGGATTTGATCCCAAGTACTCCTGTGTGGGATTTCAGTGTCCCACATGGCAACGTAACCTACAACGTAACCTACAACACCAACGCCACACATTAACACATTTTTAATTATATTTTTTCACACTCATTTGAGCTCCCTTCATATATCTATATAGTGTTTATGTCACACACTTCTTACAAATATTTCCTATTTTAGCTTTTGAAAAGCTTTAGATATTACTTTCGTCTTATCTCAACCTCTCCTTTTTTGCTTTTAAAACAGTATGTCACTGTTAAAAGTCAACTCTAAATATGGGTTTCAGGAAAAAAAATCTGTTTTGTGGGACAAAGTGGATATTGACAAATATATTCTTTTAATTTCTACATAATTTTAAATGTGGAAAATTTTAGTTCTCCACCTCCATCTTTGGAAGATAAATCAGACATTGGTTATGGCCGAAGTATTTCTTCTTCATCTTCCTTAAGAAGGGCAAGCAAAGAAAAGACCAAGTAAGAAAATAATATTTTATCTATACTCAAGTAACTCTTAAAGGGGACCAGGAACTCTGGCTCCACATTTCGTCTACCATGCACTTACAGTGATCTTGAGTGTCTTAGTGTCTATGTGCAGATTTAGTTTCCTTAGCTGTAGATGGAATAATGCAGGGTCCCCTGTTTCACAATGATGACAAGAATCAAATCATACAATGGAAGTGGAAGGACTTTATAAAGTGCCTTGCAAATGTAACAAGTTGTTATTTTCCACATGATTAAAATTGTTTGTATTGTTTTTCAAATGACAAAAAAAATCAGTTCTCGTTTTAGTACTGGATTTGGATCTCCCACAGAAGAGAAATCAGAGCCGACTTCTGGGCGAAATACTGTTCTTAGCAAAAGCGCCACGAAAGAAAAAGGACCAAGGTAGGGAATGCATCATTGTATTCTTCTCCTAATTATAATCACAACAACTTTTAATTATCCAGCAAGTTTGGTGAAGCAGAGGTTTTCCTTATAAAATCATGAGACAGAATTAAAAGTAACTTTATTGTTGCCTCTTATCATCTCTTTAAAATTTACCCAGAATTTCTTTCCTGACTCTGGTTGAGAACATAGGTCACTTTGATCACTTGCAGGAACTGTACATCCCTACAGTCATTGTAATTCACACAGCAACAGAAACAGTAAGCTGCAGTCAGTCCTTCCAAAGTCCAGCCCTGGAGAGAAAGCGGCTTGAGGGTATTTCCTGCCTCCCCCAGATCTGCTGCCTTTTGCAGGGGGTTAAACTTTCCAAACCCAGTGCTATCTTCTCTCCTCCTGTCTTTTACTCCCATTCCTCCTGCCCCTCTGATTAACTGAGTCTTGAACCCTTCAGGGTAGAAGCAAGAAGGAGAAGCAGGAAACAGGACAGAGCTTCTCACTTGCAACAATTACAGTATATTTATGAGCTTTTGAGGCTTGACATATTTTGAATGCACTTTCTTCTACATGCATTATAGTTTAAAATATATTTACTCTTCTGTGAAACCATTTTTGGATTTACACAAAAAGCCATTACCCTTGTGCTCTTGTATACTTAAGCCCTTAAGAGCCACTGTGGTATTGGAAGCTATTTAGCTCATATCCTCAACATTTTCTTGCTAGAGTGACTGTGCTGTCACATCTCCTAAGGTGTGGACTGTGGTTGGTATTACATACAAAGGAAGAGTGTGGAAGATATCCAGGCAAAGCAATGATGCTTTGTGATCATAAACTGAAGGGTTTATATAAACTGGTTAAGTGAAAAAAAAATCTGCTGGAAAAACATGGAATGGAAAACTAACATCTACCAGAACTTTCTGGTAGAACTAGAAGCAGCAACTCCACGCATTCAAAGCCCCCACCCACGTCTGTTCTGGAAACTTCCCATCGTAAAGAGTTGGAAAGCTAGGTTTTGAGCAGGGGAACAACTCTGTGGTTGTAGCTATGGTTTCAGGTCCGCCTCTCGGCCCACAGTGAAGTCCAGCAAACTACCTGGACTCCCGGGAACGTAGGTCTCATTTCATTCATTGGACAACTCACTACGGAAGGCCATTTTTGGCCACAGAAGGCTGCCTCTTGACATGCCTCTGTGTGGCATTGAATAATCCAAGAACCTCTTTACTTCAAAAGGGAAAAGCATCTTGAAGAGTATCACTTATTAGACTCACCTGTTAGTAAGTATCAAGGAAAAGCATTTAAAGCTGCAAACTTGTGAAAAGAGCTAGGCGGAGTCCTGCCCGGCTGGTGAGAATGCCGGCACTCTCCTGACCTTGCGTGGTCCCTGTTAAATTTCTGTGACTTTATTGCAAACTGCTCGCACAGGGAGGGAGGAAATCCTACCACTTCCTCCCAGCGGTTCCTCTGGATCACTCTCTGTTCTCCTAGTGCTGGCTCTGAGCTAGTGGAGATGTTTGATAAAACAAACCTTGCTGAAGTACCGGAGACAGATAGGAAGCTACATATTAGCCCAGAGGTAGTTTAGCAAAATGGTAATTGCATCCTTTGACACTGAAAATGTTTAAGGTGGGGATGTGTTTTTTCGTAGAAGGGGTACACATCACACCACAGGGTGCCCAAGGTTAGTACAAGAAGCAAATAAAGAACAAACTTCTGCATTATTGTGTTAAGATATAGTCTATGTAAAAGCAAAATACCTCTCATGTAAGTGTAAAATTAAAACATGGTAAACTTTATTTTATTTTTGATATTAACTGGTCCATAAAATTGACTTTTGTAAACAGTTCCATTAATTTTAAAGATGTGAATATTTGTGTAGTAATTGTTACAGCTGTGTCACTCTTGATATTATCTGATCTATTCCCTGTTACTATAGTTTAGTCTTTTTGAGAATAACACATGAATGGGATCATACAGTAAATGACCCTTGTGGCTAGATCTTTTCGTTCAACATAGTGCCTTTTAAGATTCTTCCAAACTGCTTTGTAAATCAGGAATTTATTCCTTCTTATTCCTGAGTAGAATTCCATTGTATGCTATGGCACAGCCACTCACCTGTTGAGGGACACTTCCATGTTACAAGGTTAGTCATATTAAACATCCGTGTGCAGAGTTTTCTGTGCAGGTAAGTTTTAATTTGCTTAGGTTAAACACCTGGGAGTAAAATTTCTGGACCATGTAATAATTGTATGCTTAACTTTATAAAACACTGCAAAACTGTTCTAGAGTGGCGATAGTATTGTGTATCCTCACCAGCAACATGTAAGAGTTGTAAGGTGCTCCACATCCTTGTTAACACCCAGCATTATAATTCTTAGCCGTTCTAATATGTAAATAGTGGTACCACATCATGATTTTAATTTTAACTTTCCTAGTAACTGATGATGTTGCTTATTTGCTATCCTTACATCCTCTGATGAAATGTTTGTTTAATCCTTTTGTCCATTTTCTAAGTTGCCTTGTTCATTTCTTACTTTTTAGTCTTGAGAGCTCATTTGTATCTTTGTTGGAAGTCCTTTGTTGGATATGTGGCTTGCGAATATTTTCTCCAAATCTATACTTTGTGAAATCATTCTGTTAGTGGTATTTTTCTCAGACCAAAGGGTTAATTTTGATAAATTCCAATTTATCAAAGTTTGATGATTTTTGGTTTTGGTTTCATGTCTAAAAACTAACCCCACATCAGTATTTTCTCCACTTCCAAAATGTGAGTGCTTTTAGATCTTTAGAATCTGGCAAAATTCTGAGTTTATTTTTACATGGGAGGCTTAGGTGAAAGTTCAACTTGCATATGGACATCAAATTATTCCAACAACGTTTGCTTGAAAACAACCTTTTCTCCTTTGAATTGTGTTTGTTTCTTCCTCAAAACCACTTGGTGATTTCTTGCAGGTCAAGATAGTTTGAAGCCATAATACCAAAAATCACAATCTGGAACATCATAATCCCAAATGCTGAAATCCTGAAAGTTCAGATCTCTAAAGTATAACTCCCAAAAGATCAAAATCCCAAAAATATAATTCAGGAAAGAATAATTTTTAAAAAATTATTTTTAAATCATTTGTTTCTATTTTTAAAGGAGCCCTATTTGGAAAACATGAAAACATGACAGAATGTTTCATAGGCCACTTTACACAATAAACAATAATAGTATACATACTTCTTTTTAAAAAGATTTATTTTACTTATTTGAAAGACAGAGTTACAAAGAGGTAGAGACAGAGAGAGGTCTTCCTTCTGCTGGCTCACTCCACAGATGGCTGCAATGGCCGGAGCTGCGCCGATCCAAAGCCAAGAGCCAGGAGCTCCTTGCAAGTCTCCCACATGGGTGCAGGGGCCCAAGGACTTGGGCCATCTTCTACTGCTTTACCAGGCCACAGCAGAGAGCTGGATCAGAAGAGGAGCAACCAGGACTAGAACCAGTGCCCATATTGGATGCCGACACCTCAGGCCAGGGTTTTAACACACTGCGCCACAGCACCAGCCCCCGTATACGTACTTTTGCAAGCATCAACACTCAGGAATAGTAACAACAGTCATACATATTCCTGAGGAACAGTCAAAAAGTGTGCAAAGTACACAAAAAGTGCAAGTGCACATAACTAGATTGTATCTAGCTTTATAACTGTGGTCATCTGAAATACTGTGATAAGCAACCTTAGATTTTTGACCACATTCGTCAAAAATCAAGGTGAGTCATGACCACATATGCAATCAAGAGCCAGGCTTATGAGAAATTTTCTTCCACAAGTGCCAATATACAAAAAGGATATCTCTGTATTTATTTAGAGAGTGCTAGTCTTGTTATATACATGCATACTGCCAAAAAGTCAATGTTGTGATAATGCACTTTTGGGGAATCAAATTTGTCACATACACACACACACACACACAAATACATGGAACAGATTATAATTCTGTAAGCATTTTAATACAATTTACACCTCCAGTATTAGAAATGGGGCAAAGATGAAATGCACAGCATCATGAATTATAAATAATAATAATTATATGGACAATTTAACATGCTGGGAAAAGGGGCTTAAAAAAGAAACAGTCAAAAATCAAAAAATGTTGACATGAAAACAACGTATTACAGAGACAGTATGTGGGTAATTACATGGAGGCAGTCCACAAAAGCCGAGTGACTTTCATGAACATTAACAGTATTCAAAGTATTGCATCATGATGAGTAGTTGATCTGGGGGAGGAGAAAGCCATGGGTTTCCTGGGAGAACACATTCATATTCATTTGTCACGGGCACTGCTGTCTTTGAAATTCTGCTTTGAAATTCTTCTGTGATTCAATATACACAAACATGAACATCCCTTATTAAACTTTTTCAAATTCTGTGCCATGTTTTTTTAGATATTCTGCATGCACTCATACACAGACCACAAATTCAGCAGAAACAATACTGCTGATAGACCATCGTGATTATCTTCTTATCCTACCTTGCATATAATTATTTTTGAAACAGCAATTTCACTAGCTTCTTCGGGCAAATATGGCTTTAATTCATTAAGAGCTCTTGGAATTTCATCAGCTTTCAGGAACACCAGGGCAGACACATTAGCCTTTTTTAAAAATATTTATTTGTTTTAAAGGCAGAGAGTCAAAGAGGGAGAGCCAGACAGGAATATGTTCCATTCACTGGTTCTCCCACAAAATGCCTACAACAGCCAGGGCTAGGCTAGGCAGAAACGAGGAGCCAGGAACTCCATCGGAATCTCCCAAGAGGGTGGCAGGAACCCAAGTACTTGGTCCATCCTCTGCTGCCTCCCAGGGGCATTAGCAGGAAGTTGGATTGAAAGCACAGAGAACTGGGACTTGAGCTAGGCAAGATGCAGCTGTCCCAAGCAGCAGCTTAAGCACCACGACACCTACTTCAATGCATATTTGAACAGACATTTTCATCATCTCATATTGCATGGCCCAGTGCCTT